ATGGGTCTATTTTATAATGAATGAAATAATCACTGGAAAATTTTGAAATTTTCCCCTAATAAGCTCCTCACTTTCCTCTTTCTCCTGTGAAAATTTCAAAATTTTCCCGTTGCCAGTTTTCCAGAAAAAAATTAAAATGTTGGAGGGTGAATTTTCCTTAATTTTGCCTAAATAAGTCAATTTTCTTTGAATTTTTCCTGGAGTGATTTATCACTAGAAAATTTCGAAATTTCCCCATAATGAGCTCCTCACTTTCCTCTTTTTCCTGGGAAATTTTCAAAGTTTTCCCTCTGCCAGTGTTCCAGAAAAAAATTAAAATGTAAGAGGGTGAATTTTCCTTAAATAAGTCAATTTTCCAGAATTTTTTATAGAGTGATTTTTCATTGGTAAATTTTAAAATTTTGCAATATAAATGAGCTCTTCACTTTCATCTTTTTTTCTGGAAAATTCTCACAACTTTCCTTTTGCCAGTTTCCCAGAAAAAAATTAAAATGTAAGAGGGTGAATTTTGCCTAAAAAAGTCAATTTCCCAGAATTTTTCCTGGAGTGACTTTCCACTGGAAAATTTTGAAATTTTCTTATGAGCTCCTCACTTTTCTCTTTCTTCTGGAAAAATTTCACAATTTTCCCTTCGCCAGATTTCTGGAAAAAAATTAAAATGTAAGATGTGAATTCTCCTTAATTTTGCTTAAAAAAGGTAGTTTTTCAAAATTTTTCCTATAGTGATTTTTCACTGGAAAATTTTGAAATTTTCGTAAAATGAATTCCTCATTTTCCTTCTATTGCTGGAAAATTTTCAAAATTTTTCCTTTGCCAGTTTTCAAAAAAAAAAATTAAATGTGAAAGGGTGAATTTTCCTTAATTTTGCTAAAATAACTCAATTTTCCAGAATTTTTTCTGGAGTCATTTTCCTCTAGAAAATTTCGAAATTTTCCTATATTGAGTTCCTCACTTTCCTCTTTCTTCTGAAAAAATTCCACAATTTTTGCTTTGCCAGTTATTGAGAAAAAAATTTAAATGTGAAAGGATGTGTTTTGCTAAAAACAAGTCAATTTTCCAGAACTTTCCTCTTGACTTTCCTTGGAGTGATTTTTCAAAATTTTGAAATTTTTCTATAATGAGCTCCTCATTTTCTGCTTTCCAGAAATAAATTGAAATGTGAAAGGATGAATTTTTCTTAATTTTACTTGAAAAAGTCATTTTTTCAGAACTTTTCCTGGAGCGATTTTCCTTTAAAAAATTTTGAAATTTTCTTATTATGAGCTCTTGACTTTCCTCTTTTTCCTCTTTTGCTAGTTTTCCAGAAAAAAATTGAAATGTACGTGAGACGATGAATTTTCCTTAATTTTACTTGAAAAAATCAATTTTTCAGAATTTTCCCTGGAATGATTTCTCACTTGAAAATTTCGAAATTTCCCCATAATGAGCTCCTCACTTTTCTCATTTTCCTGGAAAATTTTTAAAGTTTTCCCTCTACCAGTGTTCCAGAAAAAAATTAAAATGTAAGAGGGTGAATTTCCCTTAACTTTGCTTAAATAAGTCAATTTTCCAAAATTTTTAATAAACTGATTTTTCGTTGGTAAATTTTAAAATTTTGCTATAATGAGCTCTTTACTTTAATCTTTTTTCTGGAAAATTTTCACAATTTTGCTTTTGCCAGTTTCCCAGAAAAAAATTTAAATTAAAGAGGGTGAATTTATCCTAAAAAAGTCAATTTTCCAGATTTTTTTCCTGGAGTGATTTTCCACTGGAAAATTTTGAAATTTTCCTATAATGAGCTCCTCACTTTCCTTTTTATTTTGGAAAAATGTCACAATTTTTGCTTTGCCAGTTTTCCAGAAAAGAATTGAAATGTGAAAGGATAAATTTTGCTTAAAAAAGTCAATTTTCCAGAACTTTCCTCTCGACTTTCCTTGGAGTCATTTTTCACTAGAAAATTTTGAAATTTTCCCATAATGACTCATTATAGGAAAATTTCCACCGGGATTCAGACAGTCAAAAAGGTTTATTACCCTTTCAGCAAAAAGAGCTGAACAGCTCCTAAACATGAGCAGACCAGACATCAGATTGGTGGTGGGACTGCTCACAGGACACTGCCCAGTAAAATACCATTTAAGGTTAATGGGCAGAGCAGAAGACGATCTCTGCAGATTCTGCTCAGACGCAATAGAAACCGCAGAGCACCTGCTCTGCGAATGTCCAGCCCAATTCTGCAAGAGGCTCAAATTCCTCGAGGGGGCAACACTGTCACCAGAAGAAGTGGGCCAACTGACACCCAGGAAAATAGCTTCCTTCGGCAGAAGTCTACGCTTCCTGGAGACAAATTAAGATGTAGTCACGCACAAAATATCTGCAAGCTCAGTAGCAGTGCTGAGCGGCTGAAAAGCCGAAACGACTCCCCCGAAATCTACAATCTACAATAGGAAAATTTCAAAATTTTCTCATTATTAATGAGCCGAAATTTTCTCATTATTAATGAGCCCCTCATTTTCTTCTTTCTCCTGGAAAAATTTCACAAGTTTTGCTTTATTAGTTTTCCATAAATAAATTGAAATGTGAGAGGATGAGTTTTCCCTAATTTTACCTGAAAAAGTCAATTTTCCAGAATTTTCCTTGCTTAAAAAAGTTAGTTTTTCAAAATTTTTCCTGGAGTGATTTTTTTCTGGAAAATTTTGAAATTTTTGTAAAATGAGCTCCTCATTTTCAAAAATAGCTTCGCTTGTATCAACTTTATTTTTTTAAATGGTACCCCCTGTATATTATGACATTTTTGGATTCTGCGGAACATTCTAGACATATTTCATGTACAATGTCATATTTCTATCTTCAACTGTTTCAGAAATGTTGACAGTTGAAAATTGACTTTTTTGCATCTTTGACAAACTGTAAAACCTGGGCCGAGATTCTAAAATCACGATTCGACACACGACTCGACAACGATACCGGCCTTGTCGTCTCGAAAGGTATAATTCCAATGAGATTTCTAACCTAGAATCGTCGGAAAAATCGTCTCGTTGTCGAGTCGTATGTCGAATCGTGATTTTAGAATCCCCGGCCTGAACGGTTGATTTTACAGCAAAACCGATCAATCATTCTAATCTTAGTTTTCTATAAACTATCATTTGACAGCATCTTTGAAGTTAATCCATGATTAAAAATTCCAGTTAAATTTAATCTCAGGTTAAATTCAAGGTTGATGTCCAATGATAGCTTATGAAAAGCTACAGACGTTTATGTGGAATCGGTTTTGCTGTAAAATTAACCGTTTAGGCTTTACAGCCTGTCAAAGTTGCAAAAAAGTCAATTTTTAACTGTCAATATTTCTGAAACAGTTAAAGCTGGGTATGTGACATTATACATGAAATATGTCAAGAATTTTCCGTAGAATCCAGAAATGTCATAATATACAGCTACAGCTTTTCATGAGCTAGCATTTGGCACCAACTTTGAATTTAACCGAAGGTAATATTGAAATGGAATTTTCAATCATGGATTAATTTCAAAGTTAGTATCAAATAATATTTTATAAAAAAATAAGAAAAGCCATGTATGATCAGTTTTGCTGTAAAATCAACCGTTTAGGTTTTAAGGCCTGTTTATAGTTCAAAGCTTTTTCCTTTTCCGTAGATTTATCGTTAACCGTTAGAGTTAAAAAGCGTGTAAAAGAATTTGAGTGTTTATACTATTTCCTTTTCCGTATACTTTTCCGTAGTGTTTAAACCGTATCCTTGAAAGTTAATTAATATTTAACTTCTACGGTTAAAGATAAAGAAATATCCGGATGCGCATGCGTAATTTGCAGGAAAATTTTTGGCATCCATGTTTTGATTTTTTTTCTACACCGAACAAGTTCTAGGTTATGTTATGGTTATAGGTTTTGTGGTTATAGTGGATTGTGGATTGTGGATTAATAAAAAAAATACAGTATTCCTACAATAATTGTTTTTTTCTTCTCGATAATCATTACTTACGCCAGCTCAAAAATAGATTTTGAATAGAACAAAAAAATCAGTTGTTTTGTGTTTGTGTTATGATCACCTGTTAAAAGTCATATATGTCATTCTTAAGGGTTATGGATAAATTTAAAAACCAATCTATAAACACAACATTTCCTTAAGGAAAAAGAAAACGCTAAAGATACGGATAAGGTTAAAGAAACGGAAAAAGGTTGGAACTATAAACCAGCCTTTACACTCTGTCAAAGATGCAAAAAAGTCAATTTTCCACTGTCATTATTTCCAAAACAGTTCAAGATAGGTATATGACATTATACATGAAATATGTCTAAAATTTTCCCCAGAATCCAGAAATGTCATAGTATACAGGGTGTCCCATATAAGAAAATATATTTTTTTGTTTTTTAAACTTTTTACAAAACCCTGTATGAACAAAATTATGTTTTCTGTGAACAATTTTTCAAGCACTACACTGTTCTTATTTACATTTTTTTATGCACGGTGGCACAAAAAAGTTAAAGGGACTGGGAAAATATTGTACATGAAGTAAATTGTGATAATGAACACAAATAATGCACCAGAAATTAAAAGGGTACCTTCCAAAAATATTATACAGAAAGTTAAGTAAGTAAACTTCTCAGTAAAATTTTAATAATTTATAGGAAATAGGGTGTCAAGAAGATAATATTTATCTTGTTTGCAAAAGCAGTGATACATGAATTTGCGATGGAGCTAATTTTAGATTGCTTGCCAACATAAGCATAATGACTCATCTTGTTTATTATTTGAAAGCCAAAGAAAAATAAGTCCTTATCGCTCATGATAAAGGGAATATCCAGTGTTCCATATGAGTCATAGAAATGAATTTAACTGGAAGAAATAAGTTTAGCTGATACTACATGATGAATAAATAAATCCATTACAAATTTTGCCAGGAAACAAGAGTTTCTATGTTTCTACAATCTTGTAGAAATTCAGAAACTTTTCCGCTCACTTTTCCATTTTCTCTCAAACTTTATGGGAATCAAGAATTTCTATACTTACATCAATATAACGGTATAAAGCAATTGAATCATTAGTCCTATTATTGGCTTTGTGGTGATGCTTTTTGTACAACGAGTAAAAATCAATGTTGTGTTTCTTCAGTATGTGAGCATTGTTCAAGTGTTGTTCGAAAGCAGTCTTTTGCCGATTTAGCCTTATGCTGAAATAAAATCATAATTTTAGACTAGAGACACATGTGATATGAGCTCCTTGTTGCTGGCTTCTTATAGTATGATTTAAAATAGGTACGAAATGCATTTTCCCAGGGTTATCAAACCCCTAATTTGCCAATTCACTATAAACTTTAGAGCCAAATAAATTATAAAAAATAGTTTTTTCTATTTTTCCTAGAAAACAATGTGGGATTTTTTTTTTCAAAATATTTACTTACTTAAAACTGCCGTTATCACTATCATCACCATCAGCACGAATATCAATATAACATATTACAGGCGAAATTAAATAAACCAAAGATATGGAAATTATTAATTTCGGTATCATGTTGGAATATTTAGAAATCTAAAAACACGCGAACGTATGGCACTAAACTGAATTTTGAAGCTCGTGCTCGTATTTTCCCTTTGATAATGGACCAAGGTTGGGTTCAATAACGGTTTTATAGGCTTGGCTTGTTGCTGGGATTCTTTTTTCATAGTTCGGGGATTCCCCCAATGGAAATAATAAATTGGTCGGCAAAATACGGGAAGGGCATTTCCACTTACTGTTTCAGAGACATTTTACTGTTTAGATATTGTGGCGCCATCTATTGTCGCCTTGCTCAAACGGGTGCAGTTTGAACCTGAACTAAGGGTGGGTATTATAAAACTACTTTGAGAGTTAACTTAAAGTTAACTTCTGGAATTACATGTAATTCAAAAAGTTAACTTCAAGTTAACTGTCAAAGCAGTTTTATAATACCCGCCCTAAAGCATTTCGAACAATTTACAGTTCACAAACGAATGAGTTCAATTCATAGCGTTTTCGACTTTCGACCCAAAACTGCTCCCGATTGATCAAAGAGCAATCGAAAACGGATTCACATGTTCGGCTTAAAAAGGTGCGTTCGCACTCAGCGAAATTTATGTGTTCGATTTGAGCAATAGAGCGGTCTCAAATCTCGTATGCACGCTCTTTCTTGCTCCGTCAAATTCGATGGATCAAAAGTTGTATTCCTTTCAAAAGCTTGAAACACTCGAGCTACTCGCTTCGGTGCTGAGTCGCCCTCGATTTGCAGGGAACATATGCGTGGTGCAACAAACACTTTTCGAAAGGAATAAGCGCGTGAAGCCCCGGAGCTGTTCCGGAGCTCCTCCTAGGTGTGAAAGGAATACAACTAAAGATTGTGAACAAAAGGCGTATTTTAGCGACCAGTAAACATCAGGGCGAATCCCCACGGGCGTAGTTAGCGCAATCGGCGTGAACGTCAATTCTACGCGAATTTTGGCTTAACATCCCGCATGTAGTGCATCAAAACAATAACAAAAACATTTTCTAACACAAATATATTGTTTATTTTTTGCCAGGTTGTAATGAAAATTTACTTATTTGTTGTAGTCCTTTTCCTTTTATTTTCTGTGATTGTTCTATCATGAGTAGGTGAGTTCGGCTTGGCAACTCTTTCGACTCCTTTGACACTTTTCACTGCAAAATCGTTCGGGTCAGGCCACTGGGAGCAAATAGTGGAAGCTCCACATCGTTTTTGTACAGCCAAGTAGAGTGAAAATAATTAACTCCATATCCATAAGCTCCACCTCGCGAGATGAAACTCGAGAAGCGAGCATGCGCACTTCCTATATTCCAAAAAGGCGTAAAATTTAGGTTCTCAATAATTCACTATCCTAACGATCCTAACCTAAAGAATTCAAAAAATATTTTTTTTGCTTAGGGCTTGGTTGCTCCCTGGGGATCCTGGTACAAAAAATGGCATCGCTCCCCAAAATATCCGCAGAAAAACATGTTCCGGTTTGTGATGGGGATAAGCATTCGGGGGTCGCGGCATTTCTTCATTGGCCGCGGCTCGCCTTGCTCCTAATGCGTTCGACTAACCATTTTACTCTTTTCGCTCTGTGTTCAGGTTACTATGAAACTGCTCTTTATCCGCCCCAACTCTGTTCTGCCAAGCTGAACTCACCTCATACATTACGTCACAAATTTGCCACGATTACGCCGAAAAGTTCAACAAAACCCAACTTTTTGCCGTAGCGGCAACGTAATGTCAAAAATTCAAGATGGTTGCATTGCCGCCAATGAAATCGTACAAATTAAATCACATGATTAGTTACGCTCATGTTACGCTTACGTCAATTACGCCCGTGGGTTCTCGCCCTCATACTACACATACTACGATTCATGACGTCATAGTTACCCAAACAACATGTGGAGTGTATTTGACAAAGGGTCTAAAAGAGGACGCCATGATCGTTGTTTATTTGGGTTTGTTGAATTTTGCAAAATCTTGCGTTTTCGAGTTTCAATATTATTTCTCCAGTGAAGATTTTCGAATATTTTCGATAGATTGTGGTATTTTTGAATTTTATGGGAACCCCATGCCAAAAAAAATACACTTTTGTGCACAAGTGAAGATTTTTTTTTGCAAAAAACCTAAAAAATAGGTACCTCCAAAATAAAATCACAGAAAACCATAGCAAAATGGGGAAAAACAATCCTCTATTTATAATGGAAAGAAAAGAACAAAGAACTGTGTTGGTAATCGTAGCGTAGTCAGCTGATGTTTTGCCCATATGCTCATTTTCGTGTTACTTATGCCCGATTGCACCGTCTCTCTTAACCGAGGCTTAGAGATAACTATTCCTTAAAGTGACATTTTCCCATGCAAAACTGTCAATTTAAGGGATAGTTATCGTTAAGCCTCAGTTAAGAGAGATGGTGCAATCGGGCATTAGAAAAAGATGCACTGACATACTACAAGCAGTAACTATCCCTCGTAGGATGGTTACATGTTCACAGCCAAGTTTTATGTTATGTTTTATGTTGTGACGTCATAGTATGTTAGCCATGATCGCTAAAATGTGGTATCCCAAGTAAATACAACATACTACTAGTGGCGTTTCCGATTGGTAGATTTAGTGCAGAACTAGTGCAATTTTTTCTATTTCTATCTTTTTCTTCTACAGGTCGATTAAAAGGATGCAAATGCACTCAGTGCGCACTGAATTTACCAATCAGAAACGCCATAGGTTAAAACTCTCGCTAAAATACGCCTAAAGCCAAAGATAATACACACTACTAACCTTGCGTTCAGTATTTTGCTCAAAGAGCAGGTGAAGCTGCACCGAGCACAGTTTTTAAATAACCAAACGGCAAATTCAAGCTAGGAAAACTCAGATCATAATAGAGAGATCTCGTGCTGTCCAAGTTTCAGATACCGTAACGTTATTTAACAAGTACGACAGTTCTTAGTTGATGCTCCATTCTCGTCTGCAAGAACAGCAACTTCTAATAATTCCTCCATAAAAAACACCAAGGGAAAACTAATGAAACTCAGGATCATCTGAAATACCGCATTGTTAGCGGTACCGTATTAGCGTAGTAGTCCGGTCTGGTTTGTATTCCCGTGTGCTTTTTCGGTATGCAAGCAACCGGTTTTTTTTAAAGGAATTCTAATGCCCTAAGGTGTAAGGGTGGATTTTCATGCATCCGTTTTTCCGACGAAATATGTCCGAAAAACATTCCATTCTGACATAATCGTATATAAATATGTCAAAATAGAAGACTTTTCGGACATATTTCGACGGAAAAACGGATGCATGAAACTCCGGCCTTACACCTTAGGGCATTAGAATTCCTGTTTTCAGTCGGAACGCTATAAAATGTGTCAGTGCCACGTAGTTGACATAAATGTTATTACCTCATTTTCAATTTTTATTATTTTTTAAATGTTGTTTAGTGGTACCGTTGTTAGATCTGTCCCTAATTTGTCTGTATTTATGTAGGAACATATCAAAAAAGAGAAAAAACAACCACGAGATAGATGATAGACTGCGCATGCGCATAATTTAAAGTTGAAAAGCAATTATTCACAACATTTGAAATGTTTTAAAATATACAGACGTCTCTTCGTCTTCGTCATCGCTACTTGCTCCGCGATTTGAGATATTGATAGTCTGTTTTTTTTTATTTTTTTAAATAATTCCCCAAGTCAAAAATTGAGTAACTATGTTGGCAACACAAGCCTTTTCTACATAAAAAATTTGAAAGATTGACAATTTTACATTGTATTGCCAACATAATGTCATTTTGACTTTTATCTTTAAAAAAAACACAGATTTGAGATTCATTGTATTCACATTCATTTCCTTGACATTAAAAGAGTTATGTATACAGGGTGTCCCAAATTCGAGGGTGAGCATTGAGATATCGGAAACTATTAGAGATACGAGGTTGGTTAAAAGTGGTTAAATTATGGCAAAGTTGTGCAATTTCATGACCAATGAAATGCCGTTTTGAAATTTGAAAAATTCCTAATACTTCTGAAGATATTCGGAAAAAACCAAAATTTTGCAAAATCATTTTTATTCTTTCCTGAGTCTATTTGAAGAGCAATTTTAAAATAAATGTCACTTCATCATTGTCACTTTTTTCTTATTACAACATGGTACCATCATATTCAAAATCTGACGTCTCGTCTTTGGGCCACCATCATCAACTTCATTTTTTTAAATACGGACCCTTATTTTTTATTTCAGCTCCTCGAGGTTTCCTCAGACCATAAGGAAGCCTTGAGCGGTTAGAACTGACATCACCAACTTCTCAAATACAAGCATATGTCCATTCCAAACTCAAGACCTCCAGGGAAGACTCAAGTTTTGATCGGTAAACGATGATTTATTTCCAAGAGATCCAAGAGCCAGTAAAACAGCATTCCAAAAGGCTATCTAAAATTTTTCTTATCCTTTTTATAGGATAACTTCTTCCTATGATGATAAAGAAATAGTTCTTGAGTTCTCTCCTATTCCAGTGTAAAAATAAGTTTCGAATCTAAGTTTGTAGGATGTGTTTGTAAATTGTAGGATTTGTAGGTTGCATTTTTGAAGTCGTTACATCTTGTTCCAGCCGCTCAACCACTGCTTCCTTTCCAGATATTTTGTGCGTGAATCTTCTGATTGAATTTTTTGTAGTTCCTTTTGGTGGTTCCCAAGATCTACAGGAGTCTCTGTCTGATTTGCCTATTGTTTTTAGGTGATATTTCAGCAAGCAGTGTCCAGTGAGCAGACTAACGACTGTTCTAATTTTTAATTTATCTTCTGTCCTTGTCAAGAAGTTGTTCAGATCTCCTTGCTGAGATGGATATGAACCTCGTTGCCTATCTCAGACCCGGAATGGATCTTCAATGAGATAGCGTTCGGTCCTTTTCCCCTCTGTTGATTTCTTCGGAGACGAAGCTTTTCATTAGTCCACAAAAAGGCTCTGGGACTTGAAAAGCGCTTTCAGGGTTAATTTGTTTCTCCCAGCCAACTCGCAACAAGTTGCTTAAGGATGTTTTTACCCTGCTATACTAGCTGCGAATGCAATTGATAGCTTCTAGAGCCTTTAGATCCGCTTGACTGCTGGACAGTATGTAAATGTGCTCTCTTGGAAGGCCTCTTTTAAGGCTCTCTTGGGCACAGATGTTTATAGTCAGTACCTAGACTTGAAATATTGTGGGCGTTAAATCCTTTGCTAAGGAGAGTTTAAAGTTTGGTCCAGTTATTGCCACACCGACTCCTTCCGTTAGGAGTGCCTCTAAGGCTGCGGTAGGACAAGTTGACATAACCCCTCCTGTTAGTTCCAGACTGATCATCCTTTGTGCTTTACGTAGACTATCCTGTGCATTTATTTGCATAGTCTTTGGCCATACTAACGAGACTTAGTTGATTGGGTTTGACAACCGTTTGGTAAATATACGATTTTTGGTCCTATCCCCCATGTTTTTCCCACGGGTTTGCGGCATGTCCAAGTGGCGGCCGTAGCTCGTGATATTGTTTTATTCAGATGGTTGTTCCAAATAAGTTTGCGTCCAAGGTAACTCCATCATCCGAGAGAGGTAATTGTGAGCCGCTCGCAGAACCAGTTTCCTTTTTTTCGTGAACGGAACTAAGGATTTGCTTTTTGCCAAAACCAAAACGTCAGTATCGGGAGAAAATATGTATAACTAGCTGACCCGGCGAACTTCGTACCTCCTCTGAATTATTAAATACCTATTAAATGTTGTGTTAACGTATCTATTAACTGAATTAAATTAATTTTTTTTCGATGGTGAATTTGGCTTTGGTCGAAGAAAATTAATTTTTACTCTCTGGATCAGAAGTCACCTAAAATTAAAATTTTACATCATCCCTTTTTAGGCATCTTGTGGGCATAAAGTGTACCACCAAATAAATAAACTCAGGCACAGGAATGTTCAAAAAATGTAAAGAAAACAAAAAAAATCTCCAGCGCAGCCCTGTTCCATTTTATCTGCATTGCATGCACTGCAATATTCCATCTGTTCTACTGTATCTGCACTATTCTATCTGATCTACTCTTTCTGCACCACTTTATCTGATCGGAATAGTGGAATAGTTCTGTTCAGAATAGCTCCAGTTCCTTAGCAGTATTCTGTTCTACTGTATCTGCATTGAAATTACCGCGCAACGGCGAGCTTCGTTCTAGGTACCTATCATATATGGCGCCGTATACAAAATGGTTGTGGCGGACTCATAACCTGGCTCTCTGCCACTCGACACCAGCCGGACGGAACACTCCGAACAGTGGGCACGGAACACGGCTGTCAAGGGATGCCTAAGAGGAGAAACGGAACTTAGCCACAGAACGTCAATGGTCAAGCGTCAAGAAATGACAGGTAGACCAGTTCGCGCTCTTTCGGAATGAACGAACCAACAACAAAATAAAATACACAATTAAAACATTGTCATTCTATTTATTTTTGGACATTTTTACTGTGAAGAACAATTAAAAATAAAGTGCTTTCCTCAAATTGTTTTTGTGCAAAGTGTGTGACAATAAAATCCACATGGTTTGCAATGAAAATGTGACGGTAAACTTGGTATCGATTATAAGAGATGGCGCCGTATGCGGGCTTAGTGAGTTTTTTTCATAAATAAGTAAAATAGATATTTTTTTTTTTTTGGATTTTTTCGATTTATTATCCTAGGATGGACAAAGACAAATCCAATAAAGCAAAAATCATAAAAATCAGTCCAGCCGTTCTCGAGTTATAGGTGCTCAAATACCAACACAACTGTGTTTTATATATATAGATATTCACATAGCATGTAATATAAGCTTTGTCGCTTGCTCCTTCTTAATTAGAAACTATTTAGTTGTGTTGAAATGCCTGTTTTAAATGATGATATATTTTATTAACAATCGCTCAACAATAATTTGCAGTAAACAGCGAGGTTTCGCATAGTTCCATGGTCGCGCGCTATGCTCGTCTACGCATGTTCTACCGCTCATGGGCGTACGCATATAATTTCCAAAATCATGTAAAATATTAGCAGTAATCATGATTTTGTATATTTTATGTCAAACATGAAATTAAAGTAAAATTAAAGTGAAACAAATTGTAACGGCGTAATAAAATGCCTTTAAAACCGCTCAAAAAAATCATTTTCAAACTAACCCAAGCTAACCCGTCCACGTAATTGAATTTAGAAAAACAAAAACGCGCTTCGCTATGCGGGATTTTTTTTTCTTGCACACTTTTTTTTCTGGTACCTATAAAAAAATCCTGGGGCCCCCTATTTGGGGGGGCAAAGCCCTGCGGGAGTCTCCTATTTGGGGGGGCGGAGCCCCGCGGGATCCCCCTTTTTGAGGGGCCCAGCCCCGCTGGGGCTCCTTTTTAGAGGGCTAAACCCCGCGGGAGCCCTATGTTTGGGGGGCCCAGCTCCGTGGGGCCCTCTTTTTTAGGGGGCAAAGCCCCGCGGAGAGTGGGCCGAAAAAATGTTTTGGCCGATTTAGATATACCTAGTTAGTTATAGCAAGTTGTTTTTGATGCCTATAAAAATTAAAAATTCAAAAAAGAAGTAAATATAGTTATTTCATTTCACTCGTAGAAAAAAATATTGTTCTTAACACGTGCGCAAAGTAGTTTTCCTGCACTTAAAGCTTATCCGAACTCCGCTTCGCGTCGTTCGTCTAACTGCTTTTGCGTGCGGGAAAACATAACTTTGCGCACTGAAAACTAATATTTTGAGCGACCCCTAAAGCGTACCAGAACCGCACGAGAACTTTCTTATACCGAACGCACGGTAAGGATTGCTTATTGGTGTATTTCCGTATCACCATTGCCGACGTCATTAACTAAAGACGATTTCGGCACGTTTTGGTAACCCACTTTGGTTGGAAAAACAATGACGTCACGATAGCGTTCCAAAATACCAAAATAGAATTAAAAAAAAAAGAAACGAGCTTGTTTGGATTGTTGTTACTAGGGCAACTTAAAAAAAAAATAAGTGTATTGAACGTTTGCAGTTTTCAGTTGTTAAATTGTGTTTAACCACAGCCTATGGCACCAACTAATTTTCGTCAAATCTGCAAATTTTCACCTGTTTTCTAATAAAATGAATAGTCGTAGATAAAGCATAGTATTTGACTCGCGTATAATGGCTATGGCTAATATGGCCTACATTATACGCTTGTTAAATATTATACTATTTCTTCATAAATTCATATTTTAATCTACGGCCGCTAAGGACACCCTTGATGACGTCGAAAACGATACATCATATGACCTGAAACAGAAACCAGCGGAATCATAACCTGTGGTGCAAACACCCTACATCACGGCGAAAAAAGACACGCTGGCTACGTCATCACTGGTACTTTGGCATGGTGGGGGGCTTGAGATTACAACTACACTTCTCACAGGCCTTATGAGGATAGGCTATCTTGTGTAGTGTGCTCAGATTTACGTTCGCTTCCGCTTCGTTTACTAGCTTTACCTATTTATTTATTAGCTCGTTCGGTCGAAATGCTCTTGAATAGTACACCTTTACATCCCTAAGGGCCAGTTTATTCATCTTCTGATAAACTGAGCTATGCAATCTAGATAAAAAAGCAATCTGTAATGCAATGGAGTTATACAACAGTATATTTATCTTGCAGATAGTTACCAGCAAGTTTATCTGAAAATGAAACTAGTTCAGATTTAGAATCGATCCAGGACCTATTTATTCTGTACAGGGTGGTCCAAATTCGAGCTTCATCATTGGGATCTCAGTAACCGTAACAGATACGGGGTCGGTTAAATTATGGCAAAGTGGCGCAATTTTATGACCAATAGAATGGCGTTTTGAAACTAGAAAGATTTCGAATACTTCCGGAGATATTCGGAAAAAAACGATTTTTAAATGGAATCATGAAAAAATTTAAGAAAAACGAAGAGTTCATGTTTTTTTCGTATAGTTTTAATTTTTTCCTGATTTTATTTAAAAAGATTGTGAAAAACTAATTTTACATTCCCATTGTCACTTTTTCTTCTCTACAAGATGGCGGTATTAAATTTAAAATCAAACGTTTCGTTCCTCTGGAATCATCATCAATTTATTTTTTTTTAAATACGGACCTGCTTTTTTTACTGTGTTAGTGAAAAATTATAAACAGTATCGGTTCTAGGATGCCTAAAGATGACAAAATCGCAAATAAAAAATCCAGGTCCGTATTTAAAAAAAGGATGGCCGCCTGAAGACGAAACATCGAATTTTAAATTTAGTAGCACCATCTTCTAAATCTAAAGGGAAAAAAGTGACAACGATGAAGTGACATTTATTTAAAAATTGCTTTTCAAATAAGCCCAGGAAAAAATAAAGACGATTTTACAAAGTTTCGGTTTTTTCCGAATATCTCCGGAAGTATTTGGAATCTTTCTAGTTTCAAAACGGCATTCTATTGGTCATAAAATTGCGCAGCTTTGCCATGATTTAACCGACCCCGTATCTCTTACGGTTACCGAGATCCCAATGATGAGGCTTGAATTTGGGCCACCCTGTACTGTACCGAAAAGGAAAAATTCAGTATTTACTGATCAGCGAGGGACTTGATTTAAACTGTCTTCTATTATTTAGTTTTCTTTATTTTATTTTTTTTGGAAAAAACTTCCTTGCCTGAACTTATCCAAAATACCCACTAATTTTCGTTCATTTCCTTTATCAAACGAAAGTGCTTTAGTACATTCAATAGTTCTTCTCTTTTGTTGTACCAAATGTTTGGAGCCTCACTGTATGCTGAAACAAGAGATTCAGCATGACAGTTTTCCTTATAAAAAAAATGTATCCACTACCTACTACATAACATTTTCTTCATGGACATAGAAATCCTATTGCCTTAAAAATGAAGCTCATAAAAATAACTGATTTCAACTAAAATGGTAATCACAGTATATTAAAATAAAAGCAAGCAAACTCTATTCAGATTTCAATAACGCCTAATGTGAAAAATAAACATAGTGCAGTAGCATACATCTAATTTGACAAAAGACTACTCACACTATATTTATTGTTTACATCAGGCATAAATGAAATCAGAATAGAGATTAGGAAAAGTCTAAAATAATATACAGTCTTAATTCCTCTCTAAAAAGACAATTTTAAATTAAATTAAAAATACCAAAAAGAAGACAAATCTCCTCTATGGATATAAAGTTATGCAGATTCTCTTTAAGCCTATATAATTAACCATTGCAAAGTTCAACTTCTTCCCTTATAAATAATTCAAATATTTACATTCTTACTCTACCACAAAACAATTGATTTCAGCAGCAATTTGAAGAATTAGCCATCCTTGTGATACTGTCGAGAATGGCAGACTTTGCCTGCAAAGCGGTTCTTGTTTCTTCCAGTGCAATTTGTTGTTGTTCGACACGTTTTTTAAATTCTTCTATTTGCTGTAACATAAAATCATAACATTATGAATGCCAAAAAAAAAATAATCTGACGCTTACATTAGTATAATCATTAATCCTCTCTTGGCAGTCTTTAATGATTTTCTCATGCTTTACTTCCTTTAACTCGTGTTTTTTGCAATTTTCTTGTACTCTACTGAACAGATGTTGTAATTTTACGTGTTTTTCTTTCAATTCATTTAGTGCCGATTCCTTTTCTTCCAAATCTTTCATATTCTTATCAAATTCTAATTTCATTGCTGCATATTTTCCCTTTTCAGCGCCAAGTCTACAAAAACAAAATAATAAATTGAAATAATTTATTTGAAAATTTATTATTTACTTATTTTGGACTTGTTTCAAATCCGTAGTGACAGCGTCATTCTTCTTGGATAATTCCTCCAGTTTTTGTGTGTTGTACATTTCCAATTGTTGAAGATTTCTAACTTCGTAAGTTAGTTGCGAATTACTGAGAAAATCATTATGACATTAGTTAGATTGGTATTAAACTGCTAAATAAGTGTTAAAAGCAACTTAAGACAACTCCTCACCCATGCTGTAATTGTGTGCAATGCTTTGTCGCCGCTTCCAAACTTGATAATGCTGCTCTTTCTGCTTGGGACAAATATGAAAACTTGTATGTGTAGAGTTCCATAACCTCGGAAGTTGCTATGTTGCCTACAGTATTATTCGCTAAATGTCTCTACAAAAAAAATGACAGGTTTATTGTATGATGGTTTTGTTAATTAAATTTTAGGAAATGAAAATAAATAACTCAAGTTTCAACTTTATAATTGATAGAAATTGAATGTTTAGAGTAAAATATATATACAATACCAGACAGAAAAATATAAAGTTTTGGTTGAAAAATAACTTAAGACAATGGAAAAAATGTGAAGCACTATCTTAGATGAGTTTGGGAATGTATTGTAAGGTTTAATTTAAGTTGGGATGGAACTTTAACATAAAATTGTTTCAAACATAACAACCCTGATTTAAAATGCAATAGTCCACAACGAGCATTGTTGCCTATAATCTTTGGGAACAAAGCTAGTGATTTTATAGATTTAACAGTATTTTTCCATTTCCTATATTTTATTCTTTAATTTACCTCAAAATTGTCCATTATAGTCTCAAGTCGTTCTTGCTGGCATACCGGAAATAAACTAAAGCTCATATCTGGTGTCTGTGAAGCGAACACAGCACCATTTGGCTCTTTTCCTGTATTATTCGATAGAAGATTAGCCACCGCACTGGCAACTCCATCAGAACAAGAATGAGACAGTTCTAGAGCAATTTTCTTGACTTCAGAAGGGCTACCACATATCGCTTGGGCCATAATCAAGTGAATCTGTGGATTATCTAAAATTTTGTTTTGGAAAACCAACCAGCTATTGCTACATTCCGCCAGTTTTGCTATTAAGGCTAAAGTATAAATATACAAATTGATTCCATCAGTAGAACTAGTGGTTTCCCCTAAGCGTTGTATATTATTATCACTTTGGACTGGAAAAAGTATATTTGTAAACATTTCTTCATTAAGTTCTGTGGCAATTTTATTGCTGATTGATTTTGATTTTACTGGAACCAATACAGTCAAAAGCTGTAGTAAGGCTGCCAACCTAAATTTGAAAAAACTTTGTTAAGACAAAAAAGTTTTAAAAAATCAAACTTGCCTTTTAATATACTCAGTATTACTAAGTATTGTTTTATCCTCTTTGAACGAATGTAAAATCAACAAAAACACCTTTAAACTACCGACTAGTGATTCTAATAATTTTTCGTCCTTTTTGTCCATATTTACAGCAATAGTTTTTAATACAGTCAGGGCTTTGACTGATACAGTGGATTCCTGAATCCATCTTAGGGCTAAAGAAATTATTTCAGAATATAGACTTGCCATTTGGGGCACTTTGATCTCAATGAGAAAATTTATAAATTCTAGGATAACTGCAAGACACTCTGGATCTTGAAAATTACTATTTTTGGTGTCTATTAACTGAAAAAAAAAACAAAACTGGTAATTTATTATAAAATAATCATTATTTTTAGGAAACTTACATTCATAATATTTTCAATACTCTCTTTATTATTAAAGCTAGTCATATTATAGTTATTATTTTTAACAAATTCCATAAAAAATTCAATAATTTGTTTTAAAACTATACTGTCTTTCTTTCTAGATGCTTCCACAACTGCTGTAAATGTATTTTCTATTAAAGAAGGAAACATAAATGCTGGAGTCTCTCCAGATATGTGTTCCAAAACTATTGATATTTGGGATACATAGACTTCAATCATTGGTCCCTGAAAATATGCATGCAGGCATTTTAATAGGAAAAATATCCAACTTACCTTTAAGGCCAAACACATCCTTATAAACTTTTTTAAATCCACATTTCTTTGTAGAATATATACACTGTGCACGTTCTTATAGCATAGGTTAACTAATATTCCTAATGCCAAAGAACTTATTTCAGATTCTTTCCTCTCAATCCATTTGCACAAAATCAACATTAAGTGAGTCATATGGGGAACATGCCAACGAATTTTGATACCGCAGGTTATACATAATATAAGCCTCAAAAGTCTCAAATTTTTATCCATTGTATGCTGGTCGCCTACTATGCGAGCCAAGCATGGTAAAAATTGATAAGTTTCCATCAGCGCTCGTCTAGCTGATGCATTTTTGCAGGCATTTAGCAAGACGTCGACGCAATACCAGCTGGTTAATGATCGTGGTTCTAAAGCGTTCATTATGTTGTAGATGCTTATGAAGAATTTGCTTGCAATGTATGAGTTCGGGTCAAATATATTTAGGTCCAAAGATAAGCTGAGTGCCTGAAATTGAAAAAATTCTATTGGTTGTTTGATTTGAAAAAATTATGCTAGGCTTGATGAGTATTTCTTTCTGAAAAGTACATTAAAAATTAAAGCAATTAATTCGTCTAATAGGGAATTTATTTTTTGTTCTTTGTCAGTCTATCCATCCACTCCTGGATGTACTTAGGTTTCTGCTTATCATCGTTTCCATTTTTCTCTATTTTTTGCCAACCTTATCCACTGCTTGCCTGCCACTGTTTTATCCGCGTTTCCGTTAATTAAATTGAATTCGTACCGATATTTTTTCAACGACGCGTGACCTCGCTTGCAAAACACACTCCAGTATCAAACCGAAGTGCGCGCCGCGGTTCAAAAACTCAATTCCCACCGCTGGTATTTGCGCTGCCGGCCGACGACGACGTGACGCGCTGCCTCTCGCTTATTTATAGGGCGGCACGCTCTGCGGACGGCCACTTCTAGCCGAGCTCCGATACCGACCAGACCTGCCGACCAGAAACAGCCGCCAGCTACAATCAAGGTAGGTCCGTTTTAACCGCCGCCGCTCCCCGACGTCAGCGTCGTCGCGACGCCGGATGATGGCCCAGTAAGTAATAGGTATGGGTAAGAAGGCAGGTACTCTCTCTCTCTCTCTTAGTATACACTGCAAGAGCGGAACTACGGGCTGGAACACGTACAGGGTAGCACTCTTTGTCTACACTTCTTTTGACCTCGTATTCCACTGGGACCTGCTTTCTGCCTAGCAATAAATTCACGCATGCGCCATAGGGCTCTGATCCGAGTCGCTGACGTCAGTAAGAGTTGGACCGTACAACCGCGATTCCGGAGCTTCTTGCCTTTTTACCGCCGCGCTATACCAGACCGCACCGTGACGCATATCACTCCGTCTCTGTCTTATCCTCGTTCACACGCTCTCTCTCTGGGTTGAGCATTTCATTTGAATAAATCCGTACCCTAATTAAGTTTCTTGCATTTTCTTATTGTATTATAAATTATTGGGTAAAACTACTGTCTTGGTTGAAATGTGTGTTTCATTTTTAGGGACTGCGCAGTGACCTCTGGTTTTCCGTCTCCACTGTTTGAAAGCTACCTAGAGCACGTGGGCCCTTAACCACTATAATCCTAAAGGTGGCGCCCGAGTTTTCCGAAATCAACCGCTTTCTTACCGGAAAATCAAGAGGCCGTTTGTTTTGGCGATGACCGTAGGTTGTCCGTTACCGTACCGTTTTTTAGTTGATTGCCAGACCGTATATTGCCGGAGCAAATGCACCGTTCTCTATCTGTAATTTTTTTCCCTGATGTAGTGAGACACAATCCAACCGTCCGCCGCAATTTTTCACGAAGTCGCGCTTACCGAAAATCGACCAACCTATACCGAACCCCTTTTCCGCCAGATTCGTTTTGCGCATGCGCAAATATGAAAATCGAATTACACAACTTTTCCGACTAATTCGAGGTTGCCGAGTCTAATTCCCCAGAAGGAATAATTGTATCTTGGACCGGTTGCCACATTTATTAAAATTCCGAGAATTTCCGTAAAGCTCCCCACCAATTTTTGGTGGTCGAACGTCTCCCCACTACCGCAAGGAAGTATATAGCAAGACGATTGAGCTATATCAAACATTCACCGCCCGGCTCTCAGCTTGAACACTTCGAAACACACCGCCCGAGAGTCAGCTGGAGAACTTCAAGAGACTCTAGAGCCAACCGTCCACCTGAATATTTTAAAACACTAACCGCCCGACCGTCAACGGGATCGCTTGATCACTGTAAGACCCACCGTCCACCTGACATATCAGAAAGACTTGCTAGCTCCGACCGCCGCCCAGAACACTCCGTATCTTAACCGTAAGCCTGCTAACAAACCTGCCTATGGTACCGAAATAACCGCGCACACTGGAATTCTTGGGACGATTTCCGAAGCTTTTATATTCCGATTAATTATGCCGCCGACCTAGAGATCGAAATTAGTCGTCGCCTTCAAAAACCGCATGAACCGTCTCACCGTTATATAACCGATCTGCAGACCCTAACTCCAGAACAAGAACTTCAGTGGTTGTATAGGAATCTATTGCCCGACTACCGGCAACATATTCGCAAAAGTGACGTTACCGATGTGGTTTCATTCTCCCGCACCGTAAGAGATATTGAAAGTTTACTATCCGAGCTACAGGTCGTCCCGTTCACTTCCCGAAAAGCGAATTCACCACCAGCTGGTCTTTCCGTAAAACAACTCCGTACACCAGAAAGAACAGAAAGGCCTAATAGAATGGAATTTAGAAATCGAGACCGTAGGTCCGACAACGTAGATGACCGAGCCGGAAGACAGATTTGCTGGAGATGCGGGGAAACTGGACACTTTAGAACCGAATGTCGAGGCACTGCAAAGCTATTCTGCTCCCGTTGCGGAAAAGGTGGAATAATGTCCCGAGACTGCGCTTGCAACCGTTCACATTCGAGAAACCTAAGGAGGTGCTGTCCTAGTCGGAGGTCAGCCCAGCAGCGTCAGCAGAAGATCTCACCTAATTCCCGAACTAGTTCGAATGAAATGAACTTGATTCGACTCCCAGATGTTAGACCCCATGTATGCATCTACATTGATGATGCCCCGTTTTTAGCATTGATAGATACCGGATCTGCTAATTCGTACATAGGGGACATCGCTGCCGACATATGCCGTCTGAACAATTATCCGACAGTACCACCGGTTGTCCGCAGTGCTACAGTAGCCAATGGTGGTATAATTGACATCTCCGAAGCCTACCAGATACCGCTAAAATTCAAGCATATTACCCTGGTCGAATCCCTCAGTTACTTTCCAAAGCTGACATCCGAAATCGTGCTTGGAATGGATATTTTAAACCGCCACCAGTTCCATCTAGACCTAGGTACCGGGGAAGTCCGCCTAGGCAATAAGCTTTTACCATTTCCGACCCTAGGCAGTCCTATCGGACCAATAGATTCAAAACCGAGTTTTACACCAACTGAAGAGCGAAGGTTAACCGAATTTTTAGATCAAGAATTGCCAAAGTCCGTATAAATCCGTACCTTAATTAAGTTTCTTGCATTTCCTTATTGTATTATAAATTATTGGGTAAACAATAAAAACTACTTTCCTGGTTGGAATGTGTGTTTCATTTTTGGGGACTGCACAGTGACCTCTGGTCCGCCTCCACTGTTTAAAAGCTACCTGAGCACGTGGGCCCTTAACCACTATAATCCTAAGGGTGGCGCCCAAGTTTTCCGAAAATTCCGAAATCAACCGCTTTCTTAGCGGAATTTACTGTACCTTGTCCATTTTTATAAAGGAATAAACCATAAACCAAAATTTCTATTTTTTCTCAAAGTTTTACCTAGTCAAGGTAAAAGCGGGAGTTATAGAAACCCTTAACTCCCTTGGGAGTTATGCTATCCTTAACTCCCGCGCGGGAATTAAGACCCTGCCGGAGGCCCGAGGGACACAAACGTTGCCCTGGGGTATTAAAACCTTCATAATTCCCTTGATACATAAATAACTATTATATCCTATTGAACTATTATAATCAACGATTATATCCATATAATACCTTGGTTACGATAATCATAAACAGGGTCTTAACTCCCAAGGGAGTTAAGGATTTCCATAACTCCCGCGCGGGAGTTAAAGATATCATAACTCCCGCTTTTACCTTGAATAGGTAAAACTTTGAGAAAAAATAGAAACTTTGATTTATGGTTTATTCCTTTATAAAAATAGAATACAGTAAATTCAGTAGGATATAAAATTATCTACCCACGGGCAATTGGTGTCCCACGGGCCAGAGGCCCTCGGGACGCAAACGTTGCCCTGGGGTATTAACACCCTCATAATTCCCTTGATACATAAATAACTATAATTGATTGTCCCGATCTGCTCCAAAGTATATATATTCATGTACCTGCTAAATTTACAAAACAGAATAAATGTTGAAGATAATATATCACAGGACCAATTATGGCTATTTTAGTCCTGTATCGAATCTGCAGAGATGCCAATCAACTTCCAAGAGAGGTAAATCTCTTCAATCTATTATTCGAGGGGTTAAAGAGCATGATACGACAGGATGTTTAGTTTTTAGTTATTAGATATTGAATTTTATTAATTAATTGTTAATTTAATTGAATTTTTCTAACAGTAGTTATTGTTATTCAGAATTTATAATGTTAATCTGGCTGGTCTGTTGATAAATAATTAATATTATTATTATCTCTTTAAGGAATTTCAACACTTAATAATAACAAACACATTGGAATGTTTACATTCAATAAAGGAGACCTTACCCCTCAGTGGTGAAATCCTATGATGATGAAGATCTATTATAAGTATAGAAGTGAAATATTACTCGATTTTGAATGTATCGGAATTGGAAAGCTTGATGGCTGATTGCTAGGAAGGTTTTGAAGATTGTCAAGTTTATTAAAGTGATAATTGGAAAGAAGTTTATCATGGTAGCTGTGCTAAATAAATCTAAAATTGTTGAGCAAAACAAGATTGTAATCTTGTGATAATAATGTTGATATTTTGGTATTGGGTATTGCACATATGAATAAGAAGTTTTAATGGTAAAAACTGATAATGAAAAACTTAAGAAGGAGGTTCAATTATTGACTTTACTATTTAAGAAAATTGATGACTTTGAAAGTTAAGGTGAATAAAAATAAATGATCACCAATGCTTCTGCATACTCTATTAGTAGATATAACAAATGTCTGTATGTTTGAGGTGGATATTACCTTGCATTTTTTGGGACTTACACCTCAATTGAAATTATTACCACATCAGCAAAAAGTCCAGACGTCATACCTCTGAGCCTAATCAAGTATAATTTTATTAAAATAAAATAAAACTTGATTTCAAGATCAAGAAACTTCTGGTAATAATTTCTAGTAGGTATATTAAGCGATTCACCTAGTAAAAAATCCATCGACAGTGAATGTTGAGGAATAGTGGAAATTTCAATAATTGTGTTAGTAAAGTAATTAAAATATGTTATACGTTACCAGTAAATGTTGATTAATTTTGATAGCTTCATCCTCAGCCCTTGTGTCAATGTACTTTTCTATGGAAAAAATAACTTCTTTCATTTTAGCAAATTTATTTTCTAAATGATGTGCTGAGCTGTTGTGGCTGATGCTGATGCTGCTAGATGTTCTGGTATCTCCGCAGTCCATTGCTAAAAATTCTGGATGATGCTGAAAAGATAATGTAGGTAAATTAAAATAAAGTTGTTTCTATTATTCTAAAGGTGATTACTACTTTGCCACTCGTTTGGAAATAACTAATATTAATTTTATTGCATATTATCAAATTGGAAGTAAAAAATATCCTATCCTAACACTCGGAAGATAAAGCTACACTACGCATCAGTTGTTGTCTTTGTCTAGTCATCAGGCTAATTAGTTAGTATTTTTCGATTGTTTTAGTAAGTTTGCTAAGTTCTCAAATTCTATCGCTACGAGTTTTTGTTGCATTTGGTTTCTGTCCCCCTTCACGCGTCGTCCTTTATCGTCCGTGAGGCAAATTTTAGAACCATTTTCCTAAGTTTCTACCATGTGAATAATTACAGCAGACTATGACCATTAAACAAGTATCTTTATTCATATTATTTCCTTCCACAACTCAAATTCTCGAATATATTGAGACGTTAGAATTCCAGTAATTTCACATTTTATGGGTAATTGAAATCAGAACTGTATTCGTTCAATAAAGATCTATTATATACAGCGATCGCCAAAAAGTTTGCAACAAATGGGAAAATATTTTTTTATTAAGATATCAAAAAAAAATGTTACGTGGGATCAATTCAGCATACCCATCAACAAAAAAAAATCACTGTGATACATGTCATGTGACCACAGTCATGGCGGCAAATTTAAAAAATTTGCCCTAAATATGTGAAAAATGGGGGTTAGACGACCAGAAATCGAAAAATTGTAGAGAAGAAAGTGGTTCAGGATCGGATTTTACGCCCATGTGTCAATTTTTAAAAAGGTACAAGGATTTTTAATAAATATCAATTTTTTGGCCAGTTTTCTGGTAATTTAAAAAAATATCGAAAACATTTCGCAAAAATATTGGCCTAATTAAATTTAGAAAAGAGGTATTGGATCATTTAGAAAAATTTCATAATAATTCTAAATTTGTTAGTCCAAAATTTTGTTTTCTGTAGGTCATTGCAACAAGATCAGAGTTAGTGATGTGCCGAAGGGAACGTTCCCTAGGGAACTTTCCCATTCCCAGGGAACATTCCGGGAACTTTCCTTTAAGGTCGGGAAAGTGAACAAAAACTGGGGATGTTTTTGATAAAACAAAATTGAATGATATTTTATAGTCTAATAACCTACTACACCAAAAAGCGCAACAATTAACAAGTTGTCTTTTTTTTGTTAGCACTTCGAGATTTTCAGGGTTTAGTACAATATTACAATACAATTTTTTTATTACTTGATATGTGTGTGCCTCTATTCTATAGTTACAATGTACACAGTAGTAATGTAGTGATGTTTAAGTTTTTTCACTGATTGACTGATTTCAAGAGTTAAGAGTACAAAGACATAGGTATAAATATTTTATTTTGAACCATATATGTAATTTTTACATTCCTCACTGGTTTGAAGGTTCGAAAATGTCACTTTACTTTTGTTTACTTTGAAGCAGGCCGAAAGTGGCAGGAGAACAGTAACTTTCAGCCTGGAAAAATCACTTTCAACGCTGATAAATTGTTCTTTCACACCTAAACACAAATTCAGGTGCAATGTTTGTATTAAGAAGTAAATGTCACATGTGTTCCATGTGTTCATATTGTTGAAATTTCATAAGATGTCAATGTCGGTGTCAGACTATCAGTCGAAATTGCATTTTTTGTCATATTTTTACCTTACTTTTTCCAATAGTTGATGATTCAAAATAAAATAGTATACATAATTTGGTGGAAAGTTTTCACATTATTGTCTTGAGAATTGGTTGACCACCTCGGTGAACCATAGTAGGTATCTCTCGACAATAATGAAACACTTTCCACCTCCGCATGTAATATACTATTTTATTTCCTTAGTATTTATTTTTCAAATGCATTATCGAATAAAACAAGTTTATTTTTCAAAATTTTGTTTTTTTTTTTTCAATAGATGCAGGCAATTTTGTTTATTGTTTTGGTTTTTGCAAACATTCCTTCACATTCCCAATTTTAGGGAACGTTCCTGGAAATGCTCCCGGAAACGTTCCCAAAAAAACACTTTCCCAGGAATCTGCCCATCACTAATCAGAGTGGTCGGAAAATTAATTCTTGGTTTTTTACAATTTGTCGCGGGACAATAAAGCAGAATTGCCGCAACAAAAAAAATCACTGTGACAGATGTCATGTGACCAACATGGCGGCAAATTTAAAAAGTTCGCCTTCAATATGTGAAAAGTGGGGTAAGATGACCAGAAATCGAAAAATTGTAGAGAAAAGTGGTTCAGAATTCGATTTTACGTCTATGTGTCAACTTTCAAAAGGGTACAAGGATTTTTAGAAAATATCAATTTCTTGGCCTGTTTTCTGGTAATTTGAAAAATATCAAAAACTTTCCGCCTGGTTCACATAATTCAAAGTGGAACTAACAAAAAAAAACCAGTGCGGCAATTCTGCTTAATTGTCCGGCGACAAACTGTAAAAAACTAAGAATTAATTTTCAGACCACTCTGATCTTGAACTTCGTTGACCAGTCAGAAACAACTACTCCGAGGGCAAATACCCCTACCGGCGTTGTACTACACTGATTGGTCTGAGCTTTCGTTGGCAATGGAAATTGTTAGAAAGATTTTTACAGGTAATGACCAACGTGAATACAGGGACACTACGGTCCCTGTTTGGGAATCGGCCCACTGAGCAGTGGACTCAGGCTTCCCGTGCCAATCCTTGACGCGTTTCGTCCTTGTTAGGACTCATCAGAAGGACATAGGCTGAAGCTCCCTGTCCAAGCAAAAATTGAACTTCGTTGACCGATTCCCAAACAGGGACCGTAGTGTCCCTGTATTCACGTTGGTCATTACCTGTAAAAATCTTTCTAACAATTTCCATTGCCAACGAAAGCTCAGACCAATCAGTGTAGTACAACGCCGGTAGGGGTATTTGCCCTCGGAGTAGTTGTTTCTGACTGGTCAACGAAGTTCAATTTTTGCTTGGACAGGGAGCTTCAGCCTATGTCCTTCTGATGAGTCCTAACAAGGACGAAACGCGTCAAGGATTGGCACGGGAAGCCTGAGTCCACTGCTCAGTGGGCCGATTCCCAAACAGGGACCGTAGTGTCCCTGTAATCACGTTGGTCATTACCTGTAAAAATCTTTCTAACAATAACCACTCTGATCTTGTTGCAATGACCTACAGAAAACAAAATTTTGGACTAACAAATTTAGAATTATCATGAAATCTTTCTAAATGATCCAATACCTCTTTTCTGAATTTAATTAAGCCAATATTTTTGCGAAATGTTTTCGATATCTTTTTAAATTACCAGAAAACAGGCCAAAAAATTGATATTTATTAAAAATCCTTGTACCTTTTTAAAAATTGATACATGGGCGTAAAATCTGATCCTGAACCACTTTTCTCTTTACAATTTTTTGATTTCTGGTCGTCTAACCCCACTTTTCACATATTTAAGGCAAATTTTTTAAATTTGCCGCCATGACTGTGGTCACATGACATTTATCACAGTGATTTTTTTTGTTGATGGGTATGCTGAATTGATCCCACGTAACATTTTTTTTGATATCTTGATCAAAAAATATTTTCCCATTTGTTGCAAACTTTTTGGCGATCACTGTATTATTGAAATCACCAAAACCAGAGCTTTCCCATAAGCTATTAATATATAGGTTGTCGTATTGAAAAAAACCGGACTTTGGTCAATATTTCGAAGTTGGGGTCAACTAGAAAAAAATTGAGGACGACACTGAATTCTGCTTTAAAAAGTTCTTCTAGAAAGTTTTTACGGAAATAAATTACAATTTTCATAAACAGAAAAGTTATGAAGGTTTCACAATATTGCTCAAAATCGAGAATCGCCCTCTAGCGGCTAAACAGTTGAAGATATCAAAACGCGGTTTGCACCAATCAAGATTTCATGATCAGTCAATATCACCTTTGAGGATTCTGTACATTGTGCATAAAAATATTTTAATCCTTCTCTTACTTAACGAGAGCCTGTTAAACAAGCCCAGAAGATAATCATTGTCGCAGCCTCTTTGGGAATAAGTGCCAAACTTTCTGAAGTACATAGCCTTTAAAAATTTTCTCTGAACCCTCTTGATAATGTTAATCCAAACGCTATATTGAGGAGACCATATTATGGTGCCATACTATAAAAGAGGTAAAACTGTAAAACTAAACTGCTAACATCAATATTTAAGTTCTTCGTATTTCTAATGATTAGACCTGACACTTTTTGAGCACTTTCAACATTTGCAATGTTATGGTCAGAAAAAGAGAGACCTGGTTTAAAAATTATTCCTAAATCGTTCTGTTCGTGAACTCTTTTAGGGCTGGTTCCTTTGAGAGTATAATCATACTCAATGGTGTTTCAGTTTAAAGAAATTGACATACAATCACATTTATCTTTATGCAGTTTAAAACTATTATCACTACACCAGCTTACATTACAATATTGGTAAAGTCATCCTGAAGCAGATCGCAATCTTCACTGGTTATAACTTCCAAAAACAGTTTAAAATCATCAGCAAATAATAGGGCTAAAGAATTTTCAACACTCCCAACAATTTTATTTATTGCAATAATTATGAAAAGAAGGGGTCCTAAATTAGAGCCTTGAGACACTCCTGACTGAGGTACAAATATAGGTTTCAGATTTGCATCCCTTAACCTCAGCATATTGGTACCTTTTTAGATCTATACAGAACGGAGGAAATTGATGAGGAAATGTAAAATGAGAGAATCAAGGTTGAACAGGAAATGTATTATGCGGTATTTATGATATTGGATGGTTTATGGGTAGAGTAATATGAAGACCCGCTGACTATGGCACTTTTAGAAAAGTTAAATTGGGCTTTTGTGATAGCAAAAGTAAGGCACCTACCCTACCAGCACTAAAATATCTGGTTATTAAATAAATTTTTATCTTTTTAGGATTAAATTAATTATATAAAATTTTATGTGATGTTTCTGTGATTGACTGTGCATTGTCTGATCATA